GTAAGCCAGCATTTCTGCGTCTGTTTGCTTACGTTGTGCCTATCCTCGCGGTGGTTTCTCCCTCATTCATTTGGCGGAGTTGGGCCGTGACTGTTTGTAGGAACGAACTGTGCTTCCACCTGCTGATCGGAATGAAGTACATGTGAGAAATACTTCTGAATGGGCAATTTCTTGTTTTACGAGTGTTAGTGGGAAGTGTTCTTTGTTCTGACGCTCTTTGCCACGCATGAAGAACTGCGTGATCAACCTTGCGCTTTTGCGCTGTGCAGAAAGAACTTCGTGAGTGTGGCAAGGGATCTTTCTGTTGGAATTGTCTTCGCGAAGGAGTGTGATGCTAGCGCCTTTTGTTCTTGGTCAAACGCAATGTTTTACGGTGTGTATAAAGGCAGAACCGTTTTTCTCAGCCTGTGTTTATGTAGCTTTGTTTGAGGCAGTGCTCTGGAAAACTATCGTTCTAATTCTCATATGACATGTGGACGCGGGTGATCCGGCTTCTGCTTTGGTGCGTAACAGTCAAGATTGTCGCCGCTCATGGATCAAGGGTAAGAGAGTTCCTCTGTTTTCTGGCATTCTTCTGACGGCAAGAGTGTGAAGAAACTTGTCACGGTATACCTCAAGTACATGGCGGCGAGGACCTCTTTATGTTTCGGCATGAGCGTTGTCTTCTTCTCTAGGCACGGGCTCGTTTGTTAGGGAATCCAATAGGGGGTGTTTTTGGTCGCCAGGAGGATGGGGTCATATTTTGGCACTAGAATTTTTTCATCTTTCATCTTTTTTTCATCTTTTTCGCTTCATGGACGTTGTAAAGGGAGGGGGGGTCTTATTTGATCATTTCTGAGAGGGGGGTCGTATTGTCTCGTCGATCTTTCCTTGCTTACATGGTGCTATATTCCCCCCCCTCGCTGTCTCTGCGCGGTCGATCGATGATGGTAAGGACGAGTGGCAGGGGGGTCCCTCGGGTCCGGGGGGTGGGTGTACCACTGCCAAAAAAGCTGGGGCGGGTGTTTATAGTAATCGGCGTTGTAATCCCATCAATGATGGTGCCTGCTTTCTCTTCGCAGATGCATGCACTGGCTCAATGTAAGTACCATGATGTGAGCATTTCTTCAGCTTCTTTGTAACAAGGGATGCGATCAAGGTCGCTTGTGACGGGAAATTGAAAACATAGTGATTTGCAAATTTGCTGTTGCGCAGTACGCCGCCAGACATGCTGTCACTATGCTCTTCCGGTGAAAGTTATGTGGAAAGGTGGGGCTTTGATGACGGGGGGTGTCGTAGGAAAGTTGTAGCCACGGTCACGCCAGGCAATCGGGCCCGGAAGACTTGGCTCAGCCGGGTTGCGCTTGTCCCTTTAGTTACGAGATAATGCACCCCCCCCCCCCCGCGTTACGTGCTATTGCCGGGTACCTGGCCCCATATTAGTGGGTTGCAGTGGGTGTGAGGAGAACGCGGAGCGCTTGCATGGCAGTGGTTTCACTGAAGGGAGCTTTCCGCATCAGGTTCAAGTGACTCTCAGTCATATCTAGAGACGCTCGTTGCTCGTGCCAAGAACTCTTTAGATTTTTTACATCGACAATATGTAGCCGGCGTTGGAGCGGCCAGGCGTTGGTCAGGTGGACTCGCCCAAGTATTAGATGTCCCATGCCACGCCTCTTCGTTTGGCGTGCTCTCTCGATGTTTCCTCGGTTCTTCCGCATTTCCAGCCACTGGTTGCTTGTCTCTCGCGTTGTCTGTTTGGCACTGAGGGCTAGTGACACTGCTTTACTTACTTACGGGCGTTCTGACGGTTCCCTTTCCTTTCTTCTCCACGAGCACGTCAACTAGCATATACAGTTTTGTTTCTCAACCCCGCTACCTACGAACTTTTCGCTGGCGCATTGCGAAGTCTGCCCTTGAGCTTGCATCGGCTCCGCACTATAAATAACGGAAGCTTTCTGACGAAGCGAGTTTTTTATCATTTTTCAGTGGACACACCCTTATTCAAGCATAACATAGAGCATAAACCTACACAGTTTCGGAAATGATCATAAGAGATTCGCTCTTAGCAAGAAGCACAACTTTTTTTGTCTGTCTATTATGACGAAAATTCGCCCGTCGCGGTTTTGCTTTGCTTCAGCTGCAGTGAGGGCGTTCCCCAACCACACAGCCATCAATTCCATCCAGAAACCTCCTCAGACTTTCAGTACACTGCTTTCCACTTGTGTTAATGAATTGGAGCATGGAGGTGTTAATGAAGTTCTCTATGAACATGGACCGAACAATCCTATAGCAAAGCTAATGGGTCCCTTGCCGTATTCAAATAAACGCGACCCGTTACTATGCTGCAGTTTCACTTACAGTAGAATAATTTGCCAGGATCCTTCAGCTCGACCGGGATACCGCGCTCCACGGGGAGCACAAAAGCAGAGGAATTATTCCACTAATGCTGCCACTGTTCTGTTCCTTATTGGAACCTGCATATACGACCCCCTCTCCCTCGCGGCAGGTCACATATGACACCCACGTAGCGGATGCCGCGACTTACGCTTGATCCTGGTTGTACATCACTGGCAGAACGTTAATAAGATGAAGAACCCGCGAACTAAAAGCGCAAGCCTAAATTTCGCGAATGGGGAATAGTCGTCTCCTCGAAAAGGTTTGATTGATCTTGAGAGAGGATCGATCTCATGAACGTTTGCTGCTGCATGAGGCATCTCAATGGGCATGGTCACAGAATGTTACAGTTGTAATGCGCTCGAAAGATGTGTGCGCTCGCTAAACCATCATGGAAGTGTGTTAAGCTTCACGGAAGTCTTGTTTTTCTGTTTGCCTTTATACATTATGGTAGAGAGGCTTCCCTCAGAAAATGTATTCACTTCTTGAATGCCGCACATGCTCCGACAGCCCCGCGCTCGAGCAACTCGTCCTTCGTTGTGCAGGTAGTCTAACCCCCCCCCCCGCTAAGAGATTGTGCCACTTTCGCGACTCCACAGCGAGCGAGGACGATGCTACAGCCGCCGAGGTTCTAGTTCGCCCGCTCAGTTGGACCGCCCACTTGCTAGATGTCCTCTCCACATCTGACGCAGGGCCGCTCAGTTGTTCTTTGTTGGGGCGGCGGGCATTAATCGGAATGCATGTCCATTTTTGCTGACCGCGCTCGTGCCCATAAGTAATTCTGCTCTCCTTTATTACATTTTATTCATTAGAAGCACATACAGTGTAGTTCGCTGTGGACGGTTGGGCGTATCAAGCGGGATGGGTTTGGCGCGGTGCCAAACCTGTTCTCCACCAGTTGTTAAAGGCAGCGTCCGCGTTCAGTTGAGATTTTCCTCTCCCTTCGTTAGCAGGTAGTCAGGACCGCAGAGGCAACAACGGCACCACTTTCGCGGCGTAAAAACGAATGAGGAAAGCCCACTATATCGCGTCATTCTTCTCATTGGCCCAGCCTACAATCATTGGCACCGCCCTCCATTCATTTCTAATGGTTACCTGATGGTGCGGTTGTTTCGCTGCTGCTTCTCTCCACGTCGAGTGGTGAGAGTGAGGTGATAAGGGAAAACAGCTGATATCAACAAGTGAGAACTCGTGCAACCGCTCCTTCTCTTCGCCTTGAGCACGTACAACTTCAGTTCAGCATGGGGTCCTATAGAGGGCCTTCCCTATGACTTCTTCCCGATTTTTCTTCACTAATAGGTTACCTGCTACCTTGTTATGACTATCTGAGCCGCATGAATTATCAAAATTTGAAGGGGCCTCCACAGTTAAAGCGAGGCAAATGATATGACTGTATCATATCGTTCGTATTACTCGTTTTCTACCACTTTTGTCGCATGCGCGCTTCAACAAGAAGGCAGAGAACGGCTTTGACGGGGTGACACACTCATACTGCCTGACACGCCCAACCGTCCGCAGCGGACTAGAGTGTACGGTCAACTGCAACCCATCCCGCAAGGTAAAACGCGTTAAAATCACAGTGATGCGATTCTTTCGGTGCAAAAGCTTCGACTACATCAAAAGATGCACTTCACCGTATTCCAGGATTCGTACGCAAATTTTTGGAAAGTTTCTTTTTGCGCAGGGCGATGGGACTGTCAGGAAGCGATTTTGTTTATGGTGTTCTTGAAGAGTTTTTTCTTCTTCGGGGAATTACTTATCAGCTACTGGTTCATAACTGAACAGCAACTATCCATGACACTTAACCGCGGAAAATGTCTTTAAGCCATCGTGAGACAATTTGGCTCAGTCTTCTTCTGCAGTACTCAACTCTTCTGAATTTGAGCCGGACTTCAATACGCAAGCCGAAGGCAACTTTTGCGAGAAAATCGTCGTTGGAGCTAGATTGATCCCCTCGATCAGCACAAATCCTACATTTGCTTAGCACAAAAGGACTTGGCGGCCTGCCACTGGCATCCTCACAAAAACTTCTTGAGTCAGCGAATTCACCGAATAGTTGTCGCTTAGTCTGAACATCTCACATTTGATGGGTGTGAAGACACTTCGCACTTGTGCGCCAAAACAGGGCTGTGGTGTCACCATCTGTAGAGGGGGAAATAGATGTAATTGCACCAAACGAAGCACAGATGGTAGAGCATTTTCGAGGACAAAATCCTGAGCAACCTCCCTTCTAGTGACGAATTTTAATCAAAAAGCAGGCCTTGACGAGCAGAAGGGCTCGTCAAGGCCTGCTTTTTGATTTTGGCTGATTTGCTCCTTATCTCTGAGAGGGAGTAGGCGTGGCATTGGAACGTGGCACAGGAAGGATTACTTGTGGGATATTTCAGTTTGAGACAACTGTCATCTTGTTCTATGTTGGACAGAGGCACGACCACAGTTGTGTCAAAATGAAAATATCTCTCCAAAAGCGCAGCCACCGCCAGGTTAGTTGAAGTACGCGGCCACGCCTACCACATCTCAGGGATTTCGAGTATACTTCCACTCATTCACTTGGGTTATAGTATGCTAAAGGTCTCCTATAGTTAATCAGTAATTTTCCTACCACACAATGTTCAATGCGATGGAGCTTATGAAAGCCTCACCTGCGTTCTTCGCGAAGTTCTGGCGGTTCTGCCTTTTTTCTTGAGATAATCGTTAAGAGCTCCGCCCAAAACCAACTCCATGACTAGGTAGAACGGCTGTAAAAAGGTAAAATAGACGCGGGTAAGACTATTTGCAGTTGTATTTTATCACTTAAGAACAATAGATTTTTAATTACTTGAGAGATGAGGTTCTGAGCTCAGATATAAAGAGCAGGTCGGTAAACCGCTTAGGATGTTGCCTTCAACGGCAAACTGTACACACACCTCCAAGTACGGTCCTTTTCATGTGCGGGATGAATGAGCCCGCAGCTGCAGTGAAGTGCCGAATTCTTCGCTCAACAGTGCACGAGGAGCGGGGCTAGATGGTAGCGTTACCCACTTTTCGGCAAGGCCAGCCCGCACGCACGCCTAGCCAAAGTAAAACGCGCTACTAATCTGCGCTCTCTGACTGTTCTCCAACGATGAGAGCGTGTTTTGCTCTGGGACCTTGGTATCGACGCAGGAGCTGCATCTTGAGGATAGCTTGGGCGCAGGATGGGTACAGCTTTCAGATACCACTACCCCTCAACCCCGTTCCCGTGCACTTCTACCGGAAAAAGTGACACGCTCTGCAACTGGGAATCCATTCACGTACACTTGGCAAGGACCTGGAAGTCAGCGTGCTCTCAGACTGTGCGTGACAAAGAAGAAAAGGACTTCTAAAGTCAGAATTCCAGCTCAAATACACATGAACATGAATATATTGTGTGACATTGCGAATGATTAATCGCCTTCGATGAGTGTATGGCTTGTAGCCGCTTTGTAGCCCGCGTTCACCCTTGTCTGGTCTATTTATGGTCGTCTCTGCGTCTTTACTCTTCCCTCATCCAAGGCAAAACCAAGCGCTAATTTGGGCGTTTTCTTTAGTTTGATATGCTCTTTTCTCCAGTTTCTCTACTCAATTAACCTATGATTGCTGGTCTAGGCCCCAGAATTTATGACATGTAGCCGCGGAACGTGTCTTAACCCTCGTATTTCTTCTTTTTTTACTTGATCTCTATAATTAGCGAATGGCAATGATTATACGTGACTGTGGACGAATACGTAGTTCCATTCAAGCGCTAGATTCCTATTGCTTTTCCCAGTGATCACTTTCGCGTTGACGCAATCCATTTCTGAGCGTTTGCACTCACCTCCGCTGCTATCCTGTCCATAATGCAAGGTTTTCCGATCCATCCCTTCCCTCATGCACTGTCAGCCTCTTTCAGTCAAGGCCCGTTCTGCCGCTGGGGAAATAAATAGAAAAAAGATACGACCCCTGCTCCCGTTCTGTCTTCCGTTACAACCCCCCCCCTTACCATTCTACCTACTCTATTCCGTTGCCAACTTTCCCGAATTTCCTGCCCACGTCTACTGAAATTTCCTCGATATTTTCAAAATTTTGCTGTCGAGCCGAGTGAGGGGCGATATAACCAGTGAAATGGTGAACGGGAAAAATTAACCGGATTTTTTTTTGCAACGCGGCAAGTTTCTTGTTTCTTCCAAAGGCGTCTTTTACAGGATTCCCCATCCAGCGACCAAATACGACTCCCAACGCTTAGCGATTCCCCAGCGTAGGACGTGTCCTACTTTCAGTACCTTTGAGTGGCCACTGCGACCTGTTGGCCCAACTCCAGCTTCTCTTCTCACACACGAAGAAATATACAAATGATTAGAGATGAGCATGTAATTGAGTACCTCTGTATCATTAGCTACTCCATACATCCGGACAACGTTCGGATGGTCGTACATTTGCATCACTCGAGCCTCTTTCCACAAAGCTAACGAATTTTCTGGACTCATATCGGTCAGAACCTTCACCGCCACCTATAAATCAGTACTGTAAAGTACATCGCAAGGATAGAAAAGATAAAACTTTCGACATTGATCAGTAACTTTCTAGGAATGTGGTGCGCATCCTACTTCCATTCCGAATCGCAGCGGCTTACTGTATGCGATGACTAATGTCTTTACTCTTTTCTTTACTAATACTTGTAATAGGGATCAGCCTGTCGTGCTCAGACCAGTCAGCGCTTTATCCTCCAAACGGGGACGATGTCCCCGATAGCTTTGCCTGGGAGGGTAAAAGCCCGATAGCCAGTTCGGGTTTTGAGCACTCACAGGGTCCTTGGTAAGGAAGCATTTGTTACTGCACCGCGTACCACTATTAAACTACCACTACCAATCACTGCCAACAACAACACCATCACTTGACTAACCCCCGTCGGGGATACGCCACGCATTATACTTCCAATAACTCAATGTGCAACTCACTATAGTCATTTTCATAGACAATACTGCTCTGAATTCGCGAGCTTTGACAGTTAACAGCTTTTGGCCCGAGGAACCTATCCTCAACCTCATTGTTGAAGCGCACACTTAGCAGGCAACGGTAGTTACTCACTTGCTACTAGACCTTCTCAGCCCTAGTTGAATACTTTTCTTGCATGGGAATGGACCCTATTTTTGCGGAAGATCTGTTCCCCCTCCATTCTTCTCCCCGTTTGGTCCCCTTTGGGACTGCTGCAGCCAATTTAGTATGATAGGGCCTCTCTATCTGCTAAGCTACAAATTGAGAACTCCTAAAGAACATTTAAGCTGGGATCGGAACCCCACAGCAATATTAGAAGTATTTTACGCTCCTAGAACAAAGGAATCAAACGAAGGAGCACTTTTCATCTTCACAACAGAATAATGGTCCCAATGTCACTAAAGTGCAAGAGTTTTTGCAAAATCAGTTTTTTTTTCGTTTTTGAATATGACAATCTTCATAAAACCCACGTCAATTACTTGATAATCCTTGCGAAGCACACCTCGGTAGACGCTTCCATAGGATCCTTTACCGAGTCGTTTTTTCAGTGTGATCATGCTAAACAAGGGGAACCGTGTGAAGTGATAAAAAAGCGCTATGAAGAAAAAAACTTGATGAAAGCATTGATATTTGTGTTCGTACGGGGAAAACCCGCCTCCCTTACCAATGTTTTAATTCCCAGCTCTTCCGTGGAACCGGACGATTCAACACCACCATTGTACTCTCGATTTGTATAGGCCTTTTTCGTACCTGAAATTTATCATAACTGAGGTTCTTCAGGTTGCGTTAATCATATTGAAATGTTGATTCATAGTACAAACCAGTTCGCGTTTCAATTTATCCAAAAACGACAGTTGTGTTTGCTTAGTTCCACCAACTGAATTGTTTCACACCCTATGCGTTTGCATTTAATACGGCGTATTCGTTTGGACATACCGTCCCACAAACTCGCTAACTCTCCCGTTCTACATGGAGCTGACCCTTCATAGCCTTCTGAATCCGTTAACCATTCTCATCTTAGATTCTGCTATTAGCGCCTTTATACCAACTTCTCGTCATTCATAAGCTGTATCTCATCTTACCTATGCCGGCAAGCGGAGCTCGTTTGTTAACATGTGGCGCCGATTACCCAACGCATGGTCTTAGGATCAGAATGTCTTGAATCGCTCACGTCTAGGCCACCGAGGCCTTCTTTCAATTCTTGCATAGTAAACTGTTGTCAAACTTTTCTGGGAGTATAAAAGCACTTCCTTAGGCGTTTGGCGTCACTAACTCTTTGTAATGCCATCAACGTATTCAGAATGCTTCACAATTTTTGAAATAGGGCAGAATTTGTGGTGCGTCCAGAATGGACTCAATAAATGCCGAAAACGTTAGGGCAGTGTTCAAACTTCGTGATGTCGCTCATCGACACGCTCTACAGCGCGTCAATGTGCCACGGGAGACGAGCAAGAGAATCGTAAATTGCCGCTCCGCCGCAGTGCGCCAATGGGCGCAGCATTTTTATAACTCGTACTAACTTGTTGATTGGAGCATCTTACTTCATTAAGATCCCGGTCATAGACCAGTCCATGACTGTTTCCGGTTCTGAATTGCCTGTTGTCGCCATCTACTACTGGAACCATCGTCATTTGCGGGCGCGACGTCGCACGCGACGCCCACCAGCGCGGCGAATTACGATTCTCTTGTCACATACCCACGTGCCACAGCCCTTCAATCCTGCAGATGCGAACGCATCTACTAGAATCGATCGGCGCCCAGCGCTTATGTATTGCGAGAGTGTGGAGGAGCTGGAGGTGCGCGTTGCCTGGTCACGCGTCTGGAATAGATCGGCACTGGCCGCTGGGCCCTTGGGAAAGTATGAACAGTGGAAGGGTATCAGACAGTGTGAAAGCAGCGCCTGCCTCTCTGTTATCAGATGCTCTCTCAAAACGCAAAAGACGGGCGCCGATCAATTACCGTCCGCGACTGCGTTCACGTCTAGCCTCGGAGCACTGTTGCATTGTAGCGCGTCGAAGCGCATCAGCGCCAAATACTAACAGTTAGGCTAACTTTCTTCTGTTGGGATGCTATCTAACTCTCCTCTCTTTTCCGTCATCGGTAATCGAGTGAATGCTCCAATAACCTTATTGGGAGGCTCGCTGAATTCTTCTGTGCACATGAGGTTGGTAGGTGAAACTTTTATTATGGCCTGACGTTTCGACTAGATCGTCTTCATCAGAGGCCTAAAGGCTGTGACATTTCTGACTGTAGCCATTACACAAGATTGGCACAGTAAGTCCCACTAATTGTACTAATGGGTGAGTCTTTCCTTTCATACGAGATTTTTCGGGTGGTTTTCTCAATAGTCTGTCAGAAACGTTAGGGAAGAGGAGATCTTTGGCGGTGTAGAGAGAGCAATTTCAAACCATGAGCCACGTTTAGGCCTCTGATGAAGACGATCTAGTCGAAACGTCAGGCCATAATAAAGTTCCACCTACCAACCTCGTGTGCTCCGAAATATTTATCAAATGAAACAACAATGCCGAGGTTTTACTGGACACTACCTATAGTGAGGAGTTCGAAGGACTCTACGAGCAAAACTATGATCACCGCCATCCAAGTAAAATCAGTGACTACGCTAAGTTTGTTCTCTCGTGCATAAGCTCCGTCCTTTTTTGGGCCGAGCAAGGAGCCCTTATATCCTTCAGGTGTATTGAATTATGCACCCAAATAACCAATTTCTACCATCTATCACCATTTTTTGCAACATCGGACGGCACCTCTAACATATACTAACAGCATCCAAGTGGTAGCGGATTTGTTTACATTTCTATCTAGACCAATTATACAAGCGGTATTCGAACACTTATCAGTCAGTGGATTTCATCGCTCCCGTGGGGACTGCCAGTGAACATACACTTTTCAATGGGACTCCAATAATGTAGCGGTCGATTCAATTGTGATCCTGCTGCTAGCGTAAGGAATGAAACGTAGTCATTCATTGAGCTTCTCAATTCTGACACCTAATTATACTGATCATGGCTCAATCATAAGGACTGTAAAGAAGTGTAGCAGAGGAAAACTTGTATCGGTAGCTCTCAGGCCTACCACACACAGTCATCATACCTCCCTCTTAAGGCTGTTCTTTTGCTTATGTGGAGATTCACAATGTGCTTCCACAGCAAAATTAATAGCAAAGTTACTGGCAGTTCTATCTAACCCCTGCTATCATACAAGTTCAGCTGTCACCTTTTCTCACTCATCGTCTTTGCACTACATCGCCCGCATTTAAGCACAAGAAAGCCCTTGTTAGCTCGAAGAGTGTGATGAAAATTGGAGTGTTTCCTGCATACTCAGGAACTATCACTGAAATTGTTACGCTCTTTTAGTCTTTAACGTCCCTTATCAACAGTTACAGTTGACAGTACAGTCATTGCTCACATCCTTTCACTCACCATAGATGTTTGAGTCCATTTGTCTTTGTCGCTTATCAATTTGAACACTGCAGTCAAAATGGAGGAAGTTATGAGTTCGCGGTAGAACACACAAACCTTCACAGATGAGCAGACAAAATAGACGGAGTAGGCGTTGCATTTGAAAATAGTA